CACTCGGGCTGTTCTCCCCGGGATGGGCCCATCGACCGCACAGTTTGAGTAAAATGACCCTTTTCAAAGATGGTAAAAATAGAGTCACATCAAGGTAATTAGGAGTGTAAGGGAAAGAACAGCACAACCCTGGGAGAGGATTGTTGTAAAAAGACGCCTATGAGTGTGTGAGTGTGTGAGAGAGTGTGTGAGTGTGTGAGTGTGAGTGTGTGTGTGTGTGTGTGTGTGTGTGTGTGTAGGCATGCGTATGAGAGTCTGAGTGTGAACGTGTTTGAGAGCTCCTGGGTGCACGTGAGAAAGTGCTTGCAGGATCATAGAGAACTACACCACCTCCCCTCCCTCCATGTGCTGCTGTAACAAATGCACACTCCATTCGTTTTTAGGTAACTATGGGGAGGATCGTAAATTCTGTCACTTATCGGAGCTCTCTTATACAATAGAGACTGGAGCTAATTAAAATAAAATGCCATCTGTATTCAATCGAACTCTATCCTAAGCCCTATAACATTCATTTCCAGTTCAGTCATTCAAATGTAATGGCAATTTTGCATTCCAATGTCCCTGAATAATATTAACTCATCTTTTCCTTTGGTTAATAATATTAATGACAAGGCTCTCCAGATGTTAAGGTGTCACCCAAGTCCTCAGCTAACACAGAAAAAACCCTTCTGATGCACTGTGATAAACCATAACCTTAAATACTTATCTCAAACAGCTCATTCTGCCAAGCATTTAATCAGAGCCACTAGGCAAAGTAAATATTAGTCAGACGGATGCCTAATTGATTTGCTTTGCCTTAAAACTCAGCTAATTTGAATCGAGGTATTTTAGTTGCAATTCTGAATTCATAATTGGCTCAGCTGTCTACATGCATTTCCTGAGGCTACAACTTTAATGAGAACTGCGAGAGAGACAATCGGCCAATCACGTGGAGGCTGGGCAGGGCTGGGCCAGCCGGGCTGTTTACCTTTCCCAGTCTTTCTTCTTTACTGGCAGGAGGCTTTGATAGCAGGCCTGCCAGGAGCTTGTTAGGAAGCTGTGCATAAAAGGGGACTTGATTCAAAAACACAAAAGTGCCGTAGACTCTGGTTAGGAAATCTACCTTTCCTTCTGTCGCCTGCGAGGAGACAGCCAATCACTGGGAACACTTTGCCGGCAGATCCAAAATCACGGAGCGCTTTCAAACCTCGAACTAGTCCACGAAACAGCTCCCTGCTGCAGGAGGCGGCACGTCTGGGGCACAGGGACCCTTTCACTTGCCTGGAATCCGTCTCTGCTGCTGTGGCATACACAGGTCTCTGGTCCCAAGGGCACAGGCCTGCCTTTGGCGGCACAAAGCCTTGGCCCCAGCAAGTGCACAGCTGGAAGAGCACTGGAGCTGAGGACTTCTGAAAGTTTTAAAGTTGAGTCACCAAAAACAGAGGCTCTAGAATAGCACAGATGAAGGCACCTTATCTACTCTGCCTTCACACTGACAAGAAGCCCACTTCCCCAGCCTATCCAGGGAGTGTGCACCATAGGGGGCTTGCAACAGCTCTCTACTGGACCAATCAAGCAAGGCTCAGTGAACTGCTCAGCTGCTAGTGAGAAGCTACAGCGACTTCCTTGCTGGCTTGACACCTTATCCAGTATGACAAGTGACAGTCACTTGGAACTTCCCAGAACACAGGTGCCCGCGAGGGTCACCCTGCACTCCTTGTTCAGGTCTCCCCTGCCACGCCTGTCTTGTGTGTGGGGGGGTCTGCTTACACCCCTCTGCCAGCCCCACTCTGTGAGAATTAGCTACTACAGCCGGTCTTTGCTCCCCAGAGCAAGAAAATATTCCAGCCCTTTGGGAAAGTATTCTTTCAAGTTCTCATGGTGTATGCACAAGTCCATATAATCATAACCCCATATGATTCCACGAGGTGGTGCGTGTTAAAAAGATCCTAAATATATGGTAATCTTTGATATACTGTTTCTTTCATTGCTATTAAGAAAAATGGAATTGTCATAATTTTATATCTATTTCTTTCCATCTGTACATCTACCCACCCACCCATTCACCCACCCATCCATCCATTCCTCATCCACCCATCTATCCATCCACCCAATCATCTGGCCATCCACTCAACTATCTACCCATCATTTTACTCACTAACCCATCCATCCATCTATCCATCTACTACTGGTCGATCCATACATAAAGTTGTCCACCTACCCACCCATCCATCTATTCATCTGTTCCATTCATTCATCCATCCATCCACCTATCCACCTTTAAAACGAATTCAGAAACATACTCCAGGGGTTAGCACCATGGCATGGCCGACAGCCTCTGCCCAAACTGTTGACATCCCATCTGGCTGCCAGTTTGTGTCCCACTGCTCCACTTTCCATCCAGCTCCCTGCTAACGCATCTGGGAGAGCAGCGGGATATGTCCCAAGTGCTTGGGCTCTTGTACCATTGGGGAGACCCAGAAGAAGCTCTTTGGCTGCTGGTTGCAGATAGGCCTGGCTCTAGCTATCATGGGCATTTGGGGAGTGAGCCAGTAGACTGAAGATCTCTCTCTGTCTCTCCTTCTCTTTTTGTAACTCTTTCAAATAAAAATAAGTAAATAAATAAGCAGATTGAATGATAGCATCTTAAGTCTTAAAAGACATAATAATAGTCCAGACACGTCTGTGTTTTCAGAGCCCAGTTACATGAGTGAGCTCCCTGGGACCTCTTCCTCATGTTCTGCAGATCTGGACTCCCACAGAGCAAAGCAGACAGCACACCCAGGGTGACATGTCTCCCCCATCTGCTATGACTGTTGGTGAAACAGAATAAGGCAAAACCAAGAACCCCTTCCCCACAGATACCTCATTACACATTTTTCTCTGCATTTTTCTCTGGGAACAGCTGACCTTGTGTCACATACCAGGCAGGGAGCCTAAACTAGCATTTATCACACTGCTGCTAAGAGAAGACAACTTCCAGGTCAGGCACCATGAGGCTATAGGTTAAGTTACCATTGGGATGCCTGAGTCCCGTATCAGAGGGCCTGCTACTCCACCTGCTGTCCAGCTCCACAGGGAAAGCAGATGATGGCTCTGGCATTTGAGTCGCCTGCCCCCACATGGAAGACCCAGACAGAGTTTCTGCTTCCTGGGTTCAGTTGTTGGGGAGTGAACCAGCAGATGCAAGATCTCACTCTCTCTCTCTGTCCCTCTGTCAGTCTTCCTTTCAAGTGATCAGAAAAACCTTTTATTAACTGCATTAAAATTAAGATCTATTAACGTCCACATTTATTTATTAGGGTGGCTGCTACTTCATGCATGAACTTAGGTGATCCTCGGGACACGCAACGCCGCTGTGATCTGTCACACGCTTTTCTCTTGTCTGCATGAATTGTCAGTTCCACTGCCAACACCACTAGCCTTGCTGTGGACGAGCCAGCCACGAGGCAGATTTTAAAGGACCTGTGGAATAGGTGAACTTACTGAGGATTCACGTGGCTACCTCACATTTTTAATATTAACCAACTATCAGTTGACTGATAGGCATCAAATACTAATTTCAAATCTATGCTAGACGTTTAATTATCTACACAATAAACATGAATTACATTACAGCTTGAAATGTCAGCTGCTTTGGGGTGAGTGTCCAGTGTTAAGTCATCAGTTAAAATGTCTGTGTCCCATAGCAGAGTATCTGGGTGTGATAGCCGCTTCCGGTTGCCTGCCACCCACGGAGGAGACCTGCATGGAGTTTCCAGATTCCAACTTTAATCTGGCTCAGCCCTGCAAACCCTTGGGGAATGAGCTGGTGAAGGGACACTCTTTGTCTCTCCCTCTTTCTTCTGCTCTCCAATAAAGAATTTGAAAAAAAAAAAAAAGTAGCACCTTTTCAGAACTATTGTCTTAAATAAATCTCAAAGACTACATGAATGTTTCAGGAAAAATAGCTACAGTTATTTCCCAGGCTTAAAATGCCTAGTAACCTTTATGATCTCTGTGAAAACAAGCACGGCAACATCTGCCTGACCTGGAATTTCACTGTTGAAATGTTTGCTTCAACGGCCTAGTGTTTTACTTGATGGTGAGATTCACACCCGTATCTCTCTTGTAATGTTGGAACAGTTGGATGATTTCTGAAATATGAGTGGGTGCACACCACAATGGCTGCTGCCACAATGGTTCTGCTGAGAACTTAGATTGTGGGATCTGACATGTGGGATCTAACATGTGGGATCTGACATGTGGGATCTAACATGTGGGATCTGACGCACAGGATCTAACATGCAGGATCTAACACACAGGATCTAATGTGGGCTCTAACATGCGGGATCAAACATGTGGGATCTAACACGCGGGATCTAACATGTAGGATCTAACATGCGGGATCTAACACATAGTATCCAACACGTGGGATCTAACATGCGGGATCTAACACATAGGATCTAACACATGGGATCTAACATGTGGGATCTAACATGCGGGATCTAACACATAGGATCTAACATGTGGGATCTAACATGTAGGATCTAACACGCGGGATCTAACATGTGGGATCTAACACATGGGATCTAACATGCAGGATCTAACACACAGGATCTAATGTAGGATCTAACACACGGGATCTAACACATGGGATCTAACATGTAGGATCTGACATGTGGGATCTAACACGCAGGATCTAACACGTAGGATCTGACATGCAGGATCTAACACGTAGGATCTGACATGAAGGATCTAACACGTAGGATCTAACATGTGGGATCTAACACATGGGATCTAACACGCAGGATCTAACACGTAGGATCTAACGTGGGATCTAACATGTAGGATCTAACATGCAGGATCTAACACATGGGATCTAACATGCAGGATCTAACATGCAGAGGATCCAGATGGCTTGGTAGGCAGCTTCACCCCCACTTTGTCTAAATCCAGATGCATCTATAAAACAAATGTCCACCTCGAGCCACAGGAAAGCCCATACTCTGCCTTTAGGAACAGCCCCAGCCCGTGGATACCTGAGGGTCCATTCTGAGGAACGTGTGAGGGCCTCTACTACTGAGGGTCGATCTCTTAAAGGTTTTGCTGTGATAGAAATGGTAGTAATCCTCCAGGTTTCCAATCTGCAAAACAAGAAGGGAGAATCCATCAATCACTCTGGTGTCTAACAAGCAACATCCCATAAAAATCTTACCCTGTCCCCTGTTCCACTGAGGCTCATTCTGTCCCGAGGGAAAACACAAGCCTCACCCACCCCACCCTCCACCCCTGCCAAGCTTCCTACTTGCCTAGGGTCAGTATGTAGGAAAGGCGATATGGATTGAGACCCTCCCTTATAGACACACGAAGTTCTATTTCCCACAAATGGTACTCTTCACATCATATCCTTCACAGCCTGTGCTAGCTCAGTCAAGATGCCTTTAACATGAATGAATGTTCTTTTAGGGTCAGACATTGCCTAAGTAGCTAAGTTAGTGTCAAGTCAGGTCTACACCAAAATACTCAGAAACAAACTCCATCCTCTCCACCCCACGAGTCAACTGAAATATCTAAGAACAAACACTCAGTCTCAAGTGCAACACGGGAGCCAAAGAAAACACACAGACCCATCTGTTCCTCGGGACTAGGGGAGGGCCAGATGAGAACAGCCAGAGCCTCCAGGGTGTCCAGTTTGGCGGGACTGGGGGAGACGCCACAGGGCCCAGGACCTTGGCTCCAGGAAGAGCTGATCACCCACTTGTCTGAGAAGCCCTGATCATCATCGGGGGTACCTGCTTCTTGTTCTAACTCCCACTAGCTGCAAAACACACCCTTGGAAGCTATAAGTCAAGATGCAAGATTTGGACTAGCTCTTGATGGTTCTCTCTTACTGTGCCTAATTTACAAATTCCAGGAGGCCGGCACGGTGGCATTAACCGTGACTGCCATCTGTTTTACTGGCAACCCATAGGGCTGCAGGTTTGAATCATGGCTGCTCCACTTCTGATCTGGTTCCCTGCTCAAGGCCTGGAAAAAGCAACAGAGAATGACCCACGTACCTGGGTCCCTGCCACCCGTGTGGGAGATTCAGAACAATTTCCTGGCTTTGGTCAGGCACAGGGACAGCCACTGCAGCCAGCTGGGGGAGAATCCGTAGATGAAAGATTCTCTCGTCTCCCTTTGTAACTCTGACTTTCAAAATAAATTTAAAATAATAATAATAATAAACCTTGTCACAGGTGTGCATGTGTAGAAGACAGCACATACAGGCCTCACTAGCATTCATAGGTTTCCTGGGAAGGTCTGGAAACTTCTCTCCAGCCGACAAGCAGAGATCAACTAACCCCTTGCCTGCCTTCCTCATTCTCATCCATTCTGTATGCCATGGCTGACCCAAAGGCAGTGACGGCCCAACAGGGACCGAGATGCTGCGCGTGTCCCAGTCCACATATTCACCCAAAAGGACACAGCAGACAGAGAGGCTCACTAGTACCCTGCATTTCTCCTTCGCAGCAATGCAGAAATCTGGCTGCCTCCTGGTTTGGGGTTAAAAAACACCCCTTATCCTTCACATCAGGAACTACCCTTTTTCACTTAGGCTTGCTTCTAATACTTACAACCACAGAACATCAAATACCAGGACAGTCAGGAGAATCAAAACAGGTACCTCCTACACAGTGTCTACAACCTGCCAGGCTGTCAACCGATGGTGGCTGGCCCTGGAGCCAGGACAATCTCTCTGGCTTCTCTCCCAGTCCTTGCATTTTCTCTCTTGAGATCTGATCTGGCCAAATCTGGGTCTGTACTGGAACCCAACCTCTCTCCCTGCTAGATGACCTTGGGTCATCCTGAGACCAGTAACTACCACTTTGCAGGTGGCTCCAAGAATTGAATGAGACAGGCAGAGGTGAAAAAGCCAACAGCACCAGGGAGGTGAAGCATCTGGCAGATGGGTTTCTGTAACTCAGTCTCAGTTCATTTTCTGCACTCTTGTGCATCAAGCACTTTCATTTCTCCTTCTACAGACAAGACACCTCACTCATTTCCGCACAGAGTTAATGGCTACATATGTGCAAAGGCTCCAATCATGGAGTCTTAACCCAGAGCTTGTGTTTCATCAGCATGTTTGCCTACATGCTGGGAGATATGACATAAGCTTTGGTCACATAATTCTGGGTGTTCAAGTCAATTCCTATTCCGAGACATGGAGAACCCACGGGTGAACAAAACTTACTGGCAAATTGAATTAACCATAGAGCTGCTGACACTTGGCATATTAACGTCAGAGCAACCCCTGGAAGCCACATGGGCTGTTCAGCCAGGCCAGAGGCAGCCACCCTTCCCCTGGAGGTCACTCCCTGAATCTGGACAGCAATGACCATTTCTTAGTAATGGCCCATGGGGTCTGGGCTGAAGGGAGCTGTTCTCCTCAAACAGATGGCCTTGTCTCCACAGTGTGAATGAGGCAAAGCACGTCTTGGGGCTGGAGCAGCCAGCTCCACATCTGCTTGGACATTTAAGTCCAGCCCGGGGCAGAGGTTGAGAGCCAGGGGAGGGGTGGGGCAGTTGCCCTCCTTCCCTGCAGAGCCAGCTGCAGGAGCTGGAATCATCAGATTTCTCTGTTGTGATCACAGAGCATATGTCCCTTCGTGATGATTTCACTCATCTTATTTTTCACTGACTCCATTCGGCAGCATTTCCCCATAGTTCCTCCATGTGGTAGCATGTATCTGAATTTCCTTCTTGGTTTAAGGTTGAATACTATTCTATTGTATGCAAATGCATGGATTTAGCCAAAAACCAACAAGGCATACGTGGGTTACTCCACTTACTGAGTGCTGTACATAGGCTGCCTTGAACATGGGGCACAATAGTTGCACAAGTCCCTGCGCTCAGTTCTTTAGGCAAGTTCTCTCCCCTTAAGTTTCACTGGAACATAGCCATACCCACTCACTTACCTGTGCAAATGTGAAGGCCAAGGCCAGGCTCAACGTAGGAACCTCCTCAGTGTGCCCATAGAAAAGCAAGTGATGACATCTGATGCCACATGACACACAGGGGCATGACAGAGTCAGCAAGGATGGCTACACCTCAGATCGGGAGGGGTCAGACTTATGACACTCATCACCCAGACCTCTGTAGCGGATACAGTCCCCAGCATTGTAGGGCCTAGGTTTCCTCCCTTACATACACACCTAGGGTACAGTTCAACCTATAAATCTGCCAGAGTGGAAGACTAACAATAATGAAATGGAACCATTATAACAGCACACCGTAAGATGAGTCCCTTAGTGACCATGCATTATTTATTTCTGGAATGCTTCACTTCATGTTTTCAGACTGGGATGGACCTCAGATAATGAAACCATGAACAGAGGAGCCTCTGACAAAAGGGGTGGGCGGGACAGTCAGAAGAACGGGGAGGAGCAACATAAAGACTTCAGGGCAAGCTTCTAGGGAAAGAGCCACTATTTTTATTTGATATTTGTGGTGATATTACAACAGCTGCTGTTCCCAGCTTGGCAGCCTGGCCCTCCTGGACTGGTGTCCTTGGCTGTGGCTTAGTGGAGTCTACACAGGTGGCAGCCACGGCTCGGCACCTCACTTCTCAAGTCAGACACCAAGCAGCCTTTCCGGCAGGGAGCTCACCAGCTTCAACGGCAGCTAGTGGCCATGGTGGCTTCTCTTCTCACCTTTGTCTTTGGGGGAAAAGACAGATTCCCTCCCCATGCTCCTGGGGCCACAGCCTGGCCCTGCTCAGCCCTGCACCCTTTCCAGACCCCCATCCACTCCTCATCAATGAATCAAGTTTGTCCGTTGCAGCACGAAAATTTGCACATGCACCTTTTTTTTCCTGCCTAGAGTCTGTGCTAATTGGAGCTAGCCTCCTCCTCCTCCTGCTCTCTCCAAGGAAATAAAATAAACATCTTGCTCCTCATGGACTGTTCATATCTCTCTCCTCCCTGACATGTCATCGTGCACACAACTTGATAAGATTGGTAATGCCGCTGGAAACTCGTGGCATGTGTCTTCCATGGAGACACACACGATGAGGGGAGCTGACTGTTGCTTTGCCAGTTGCTCCTGCAGACATATAGACTGTCTGAACAAGGAGACTCTGAAAAGTTCATTAAAATACGGAATTAAACAAGTTGATTTGGGGAAAAAATTGTCTGAAATCCACACATGGCTTTTTTGTAAAGTGCATTTCAAAAAAAAAGAACCTTCTGAAGATCGCTCGTCCATGGAGCTGGTATACAACACAGAAGGCACAAACCCGAGTAGGGTTAACAAAGAAGGCAACTGGCCCTCCTCCCTCTCCAGTGCCCACTGAAGTCCCCACTTTCTCCGCATGTTCCCAGCTCCAAGCCAGCTGCTGGCCGGGGCCGCTGGCACTTGCTAGGGCAGCCAACTTGCAGTCCAGTGAGTTAGAGGGGATGGACTCACCTCGTAGCTGCCAGAGGCCGCTCTGGGGACTGCCCTCCGAGGCTCAGAGTGGAGGACCTGCGTGCGCAGGAACACACATTGCAGCACAGCGGAGGCCCCAGGCTGCCATGGGGAACCCAAGCACCTGGGCTCTGCTCCAGCACCAGGCTCTCCCATGTAGGACCCATGACCTTAGCCAAGGTTCACCCTTCCGAGTCCTAGCACAGGAAGCATGGCAGATGCCTTGGTGGACTGTGCTCCATAGGCATGTCCCTGTGTGCACATTCTTGGACATGTGTGTGTTGCCATGTACACATACATGTACCTATGCAGGCCTGGGTGCCCAAGTATGTGGACGTACAAGTGTGTGTGTACGCACATATAGACACAGGTAGGGCTTAATGCTGGTGTGTGAGATGAGAGCTGCTGTGTGATTTCATCCCTGCACCCCATCACAGCCCTGGAATGTGCTGACACACCTGTAAGCCACTGGTCAACCATGGCCACAGCCTCTTGTTGCACAGGCTGCCTGGGGCTGCTTGCCAATCGCACAGCACATGGGGTTTCTTACACGAAACTTGCTTTAAAACCAGAAGGGGCATACTCCAAAGCAACGAGGAAGTCGTGTCTAGTTAACACCCACAGTGCTCACACAGTTGTCTCTGATCACACTGCACACAACTGCACCTGCCGCTTTCACACAGCTGGCAGTGCTGCA